CAATGAAGCACTGCCAATAGTAAGTGGCTTCCCATCTTTACCATGTGGGATCCACATTCTGATGGCACTTGCAGAAGACACCTATAGGCAGCATGCTTTGCATACACATGTTTATAAGCTTTACATCGTTCCGAGACGAATCCCAGCTAAACATAAGCATCTGGAGGAGCTTCTTCAGGAATCTAGATAATATAACAAAGTAATTTAAGATAAGAAGGCCAGAAAAGATTAAACTACAAAAAACCTTTCCCAAATAGTATAACACGGTTTAAAACAAATCACATAAAATACTGGAATCATGACTAGTCAGTAAACCTAAATAATCACTTAATTTTCCTGTTTACAAATCAAGATTTAATCTGCTTTCTTAGCCCACAGCTTTTAGAAGGTGCATGCATTAATGGAATTTGTAATGTTTTTTCACTGCAGCAAGCAACATAAATTAACAAGCATCAGTTAGTTATTTCGTCACTACTGACAACAAAAGCAACAATAGAGGTTGACGCCTTCATTTGAGAGGGAAAAATTAAAACAGCAGGCCCAATACATGAGTGCCAAATTTGAAATGCATTGATTCCAAATTTGAAGATGATATACATTGAACCCTAAAGATAGAACATGGAATCTAGTAACTTTTAACTCCTATATAAAAAATATAGCATAAATAAAGTCCTTTACCTCTCCAGGAATCCATTTCTCTATAAACCAAATACTTGAATCCCCAGAAACAATCTCCCTTTGCAAGTTACTTCTGTCAGATTTGGAAATCAAAATAAAGAGGATTATAAGCATATGAAGTATTCTAATTGATATCAATAAATTCATTCAAAATATTACAAAATGCTAGCAACTAAATAATCTCTTAAATAGATTAGGATTGTACAATAGCTTCTCCAATAACATACCCTAACTGAATATCTGTAGTTGATTGTCCATCTGCTTTAGAAATTAAGTTTGAGACATTGAAGACAGCAGAAGGCTGGAAGCTGGATGAACTGAGGTTTTGTGTTGATACTGCCGGAGCAGAAAATTGGTTGAGTGCAGTACCAGTGACACTACTGTTGCTGAAGCTAGACATGTTTGTGGTGAAGGAAGCTGCTACTGACTGGTTAGGTTGTTGGTTACCGAATGAAACTGTCACGTGAGGCTGAAATTAAAAGCATACATAATACATGTACAAGTAGAGTGTAAATGGTAAAACCTTAAAACTTACAGGCATTGGCCTGTGGAATACTGTTTGTTGCAAATACACTTGAGGCTTGGGCAGAACTTGAGAAAGAAATTGGTTGCCCGAAGGCATTATTTGACTGTATAGAGGGCCTGAGAAAATATTGTTTGCAAAGTTAGTAAAAACCCTGAGGGCTAAACTTAGAATCAGGAAGGAAGTTGATTTCAACTTTCATAAGTACAAAGCAAGGAATAATATGAAACCAATTTTTTTATAAAACAATTTAGGAGTCATTCTTACCTCACTGCAGATCCTGAATTAAGTGAAGCTCCCAGCTGGCTAAAACTGGAGACGGAAAGAGGGAAACCATTTTGAGAATGGCCACTATTTTGAGCTGTAGGAGAGAATGCAGTTGCAGTGGCTGTGGGAAATGGAATTTGTTGGGCCAGAGTAGAGCCCGCAGGCCCTGTATAGGGATTACGTAGAAGGTTTTCAAACTCAACTAACTTTGAATTGAGTAAATTTCTCTCTCTCTCAACCTGTGGGATTCGCAATTAGTAAGTGTCAGTCAATGATTTCCATTACATAGTATGACATCAACATCTCCTGGAATTTTCATAACAACGCGGTAATTGAGGAAAGGCAGAAACAAGGAGTTCTTTATGCAGCAGAAATACACAGATCACTATTTACAACAAATGTTTTGTTTGAAAATAAGAACAAATTAGTTATAAGATAATACATTGAGAGCTCTTGATTCATTTCCAGAGCAAATTTGTGTGATATGTATATTTTTCAGTTTATCAGATTAAGCATAGGATTCTCCTAGGGGTAGCAAAGGAATTCTATTAGCAAAATTCTCTAATCTATCCGTCTATATGTGAGTATTTGTGTGCATGGCTGCATAAGTGTGTATCTAGGGTAAGAGTACATTCCTATGGTTTAAGGCCCATGTCATAAAGTATCCCAGCTATCTCTGCAAGAAATTCAAGGTGATGATATCAACAACTGCTTTTAGCTTTGACTCAACTGTTCTCTGAATCCATCAGCCAAAAGCATATGTCTATATCAAAGTAATTCCAAATTTATAATTGAGAATGAAATGGCAAGCAACATATGCAAATGTACTTTGGTGACTGTGTATATATGATTAACATGCAACCATAAATATGCAAAGTAAGATCTTGAAGATCCCCTCACAATTGACTGCAAGCTTAACCCATGTTTTGCATCATCATATGCTGTTGCCCGCAATTCTTCAAAGCTAACATCACCAACGATGTCACAAGGAGAACTACAAACAAAAAAACTCAAACTTTAGACCATGTTAATACTCCTTTATTCATTCTCATAATTACAAGAATGGACAGTGTATATCTACCACCTGACAGGCTCTGGCTAGAAAAATGGGGCAAGGTTGCACTAGCCATTAAGTTCAGAATGGTTTTAACAGCAGCAGATTTCCTAAACCAATAAAACATTCCTAAGGAAAATGGGTTTCACCTCTCTACATGTCTAATAAGATCTTAATCATGTTGGGAATATAATCTGAAGTTTTAAATTTTGAGCAAAAGGATCAGGATACGCTTAATTTACAAAATTAAACTTTTAGAGGTTATTATTTATGAGCACCCTAAAACACCTGAACAAGAAATCATTCTTTCTATCCAGTGCTTCTACAGATATTTTGCCCTTGAAATTTAAAAATATTCAGGGAAACAAATATCATAAAAGTTGTGAATCTTTTGAAAAGGCCTGTAGACCATGTAAGTTGTAAAACATACTTTTTCCAATGGCTGTAACATGTAAGCTTCCAAAGGGGTCTCTCATGCTCAAAATCTTCAATAATAGTGCGTTTGCATAACTCAGGATCCGTGCACCTTTTGCATGCATCAATTTCACATTTTGTCAGAAGAAACAAAAATTATTTTGAACCTACACGGCAGCAAAGAGAAATGACATAACCAGTTATCACTACTTACTTATGATTTGTTGCCTGGGGCTGATTATCAGGCTGCCGCAATGAAGGGGCACTGCTGGCAGAGGATCGGGTCCACGTATTCTTTTAAAAAAGAGTAAATTACAATACATAAGGAAGAAGAGTCCAAATTAGTAAACCTTTTAACAGAAGCAAAAGATTTCCTGAAACCTTCCAGAGCTTGATTCAAGAAGGAAGGCCCGAAATGGCATCATATATCCAAGCAACCAAATTGTAGGTCCAACTAATACCTGCAGATTTTAAGAGTGGAAAGTTACCTTGAACTGGTTCTGTTTATTTCCAAAATCACTGGCCCCTTTTGACTGAACATTGTTCTGAACACCAAATCCAAAAGGATTGGGCTTTTGTTGTTGGTGTGAGATAGCTTGAGTGCCAAATCCAAAGGCATTAGACTTTGGCTGTTGCTGTATCACATGAAGAAATTTGCACCTTTCACCATACTGACAGCTGGAGGATGAGCAACGAAGATTAAAGACTTAGTGAAAAATCTACTAATGATGCATATGTTAGGCACGTGTGCTATATAGAGATGATGATTATGTACATACAAAAGTTAATTTTTGGTTGAAGTGTGAATTTGGTTCCTCTACTATTTCAATTCAGCAATTTTAGCCTCCTTACTCTCATTTTAATGAATTTAATCCCCACACTTTTATTAAAAATAAATTTAGTAACATGATACTGGTGTTACAATTTTGCAATTAAATTCAGCTGCAAGGCCTTTTTGTTGATGACTTGATATGCCAACCTGAATTTTTTGTGACCATGTGACATACATTAGCAAAAATGATTTTCTTATAAAAACACTAAAAACCATTTTCCTAATTTTAATAACTATTAGTTATTATTTAATTAAATAAAATATGATTTTTTTTAACTGATACATAGTAAAAAGTTTAGTCCACATCAGCATGTCACATCATTGCAGCTAAAGCCAAAGTTTTAATAGCATATCAATTGTCCTAAAAATTGACTTTTAATGGAAATGTAAGGACTAAATTCATTAAAATCGAATAATAGAGACCAAAACCACCAAATCGAGACAGTAGAAGTATCAATTTCAAACTTTGAATTTAATATTTCCATCAAGATACATTTTGGCAGAAAAATTAATGATAATAAACCAAGCATCAAAACCCACAAGCTTATCAATTCAAGCAAAAATACTAGGAAAAGATCATTTTTGCATTTTAAGTAAATATACTCAAGCTCATGTGCATTGCTAGGAATAGAGATCATTAGGTGATATAAGTAGATGTTAGGGTTAAGGTGCAAAGTTATTCATTCTACTTAAAGGTGGTGGTCCAATTTCAGCACCATCTTTAAACTAGTGCAGTTCAAGCACAACACTTCTAATAAGGGAAAATTTTGGTGAAAATGTAACAATAGTAAAATTTTCAGTGGAATGTTCTGATGCACCTTGCTATATTATTCAAGATAGAGTTTTGAGAATGACACGGAAGAAACAAATGTACCACTTTAGAACCATGTTTGGTTGGGAGGAATGGCTAATCCATTTCTCCCCTATTCTTTTTTTCTACTTCATTCTTTTGTTTGGTTATGGAATGGCCATTTCGTAAAATGACCATTTTTGGGATAAGTAGAAATAGCTATTATAGAGGGGGATGTCGGCAATAAGCCCCCTTGGTAATAGCTATTCCATGGGCCACAAAATGGGCTAAAAATTTTTGGACAAAAATGTCCTTAATTATTTTGTCACATTACTAACCTATATATAATAAACCTAACCCTAACATATAAAAACCTTCATTTTACATTTTGCCTTTCTCTCTCTACCTCATCTGCCTCCATCCTACTCTTTCTAAACTTTTCTTAATGCCGATGAGTTTGCCTGAGTTAAGAGTATTTATAGTCAGAATTAGTTGTCTAAGTCTCAAGACTGCATAAATGACCATAAGTGCATAATGTAGTTGATAGATAGAGTAAATTTTTTTCTAAATCTTTATGACTATGAACTATTGAAAACTGAGCTAACGCTAGGGTGCCGTTTGGTATCAGGGATGTAAAACACATTCCCTGTAATGTGGCTTATTAAATTACATTGTAGTGTTTGTTTTGTAACAAAACACTGTAATATAAGATTGCAATGCAATCACATTGCAGTCAATGGATATAATGTGATTGCAGTGCAAAACCAATGTAATCACATTACATTACACCCTGAAATGTCTTTAAGGACATTTTTACCCATCATCTTTTAAAAAAATTACTCACAAGACCTTTCAAACTTTATTCATTATCCTTTGGGGTTTAGGGTCTGCTGCTTTTTCTCCATTTTGCAGCAGACGTCGCTCCTCCTTCTTATCAGTCCTACTTCTTTTCATCATCTGAAAGTGTGGGTTGAAATCTACCACTTTGCTTTTTCTTTCTCCTTTTCTATCTTCCTCTTGTATTCTTCAAATTGGATTTTTTCTTTTAATTTGAGTTTTCTTCATTGTTATATTTTTGTTTTATTAGTGAAACAATTTGGCCCTTGATCAGCAAGAGACGTTGGATTTCTGGGCTAATCTCCCGTTTGTTTAAAATTCAACCGTAAGTTCTTGTTTCCATTATTTGTTTATTTATTTATTTATTATTCCTTTCATTCTATTCTTTCTATTTCCTGATTCCATAGAAGCAAAAGCTTAAACCGTAGGAAACAAAAGGGAGGAAATTTTTTTTTAAAGTTTGTAGCAATAAAGATTCAATTTTTATTATTGCAAAGTGTTAATTTGATTCATTCATGTAAGTTTTTATCCAAGTTTTTGTTGTTCTGATGAATTGTGGTGGGTTTTTTTTTCCTGCTGAAAGTTGGCTAGTTTTTGGACTGAATTGTAGGGAAAAGTGGTGGGACTAGTCTTAGAATTCTATTTTCTTTTCTGGGTTTTTTTTTTCCTTTTAACGATTTGGAATGTGGAGAGGTAGAAGTTAAAGAATTTAAATGGTGAGAATCACATTTGTTGTGCAGTGGTTGGTTCTTTTATAGAATAAATTGGAAAGACTAGATGCCAAGATTTTTGGCCTTTGTGTTGGAGTTAAGATGAACTGATATACCAATGTTGTTGCTGTTGGCTAGCTTTTACTTGATAGGACTGTTTGAAATGCTTAGATAAAAATGGAAAACTTGCATCTTGGTAGTTATTAGCTTCTAAATTGCTCAAGGAACACGTTAAGGAGAAGACTTTTGTGTAGTTTAGGTTAGAAGTCAACAATATAAGTTTAGATTGGGAAATTGTAATTATCAAATTGAATTCTTTGGTACTATTACTTGCTGAACATTTATGTTTTTAGTATTAGTGTTCAGTTGAATTGTTTGATTGACTTTTA